AAAAATAAATTAAAATTAATGATTAATTAAATTTAAATGATTTTTTGGATAATTTAATTAATTGTGATTGTTTTGATTTTTTTTCAATTTTTCAGATTCGTTTTTGGTTCGAAAGGAAAGCTGAACAAGCCAACGTGACAAGTTGAACAAGCCAACATACGAGAAATTGCACAAAATTCGTGGTTCACTTCGCCCAATTTATATCAATTTTTTATCACATTGATTTTTCCGATAAAAAATGTGTGATCCACAACCAATTTCTTCTGGAACTAATGCGGAAAATGATCAATTGAATGATTCTTCCGGAAGTGATGAATCCGTGTAAGTATTTATTTAGATTGAATATCCGAGATACAGTTCATATGACTTAAAAAAAAAACATTAAAATCTATTTTCCTTTTTCAGACCCGAGTCTTGTGAGACTATTTATTTGAATACAACTGAACCCGTTCCTTTCAACGAATTTGTTCAAACATTATCGGGATACAGTGATCAAATCGAACTCACACCAATTATTATTCGTGGCGGCAATTCGTTTATACAAGGCGCATTCCACTTAAAAATGCCAAGATCTATTGCGACCCAATTATTTGGACCTGTTAACGGCCGTCGATTGCAGCCATTCTCTGCATATCCCATTTACATTAACAACAATGTGCCAATTGCACCATTGGAAAGACCAAATTCTGTTGGAGCTGGAGACGGTAATTCAAGCCATGAACCAAATACATCGCCGAGTGATTGTCGAAGCTACAGCTCTAGGTACAAAAAAAAAAGTCTTTTGAGACAGTGTTTGGTACGAAATTTGTTTTTGTAGTATTAAAATATTATTTTTATCATTTGAATTTTTAGCGTTGATTAATAAGTATGAAATTAACTTTTATAAGTTTCACATGAAAAATATTTCCCTGGGATTAAAATTATGAAAGATCGGAACAATTAGAAAACAAAACACCGTACTAAATTAAAAAAATAAAAATTGTTATCAACTCCATATATTTTGCAAAAATTCCGTGTTTTCAAAGATACTCCTAGAATTTTTACTTTTTGATCAAATGAGTTGGTGGCTTCATTTTTAATGCATATACACTGGATGAACAAATTTTTTTTCTCGAATTGATTAATTTTCAAATTTTATTAATTTTTCTTTTAAATTTAATTTTTGAGCTGAAACATATTTTTTTTCTTGAACTTTTTTTT